GCCCATTCGCGGACCACTCCCGCTCCTCATAGAAGTACGAATGCACAGACACTCTCTGCCTATACGAACATGTCGGCTCTCCCGAGCCTCGCACATCCATTCGCGGACCACTCCCGCTCCTCATAGAAGTACGAATGCACAGACACTCTCTGCCTATACGAACACGTCGGCTCTCCCGAGCCTCGCACATTGTTGACCGCCAAAGGTACCCCATCCAAATCTACCCTGGGCCGATCAGGGTCCTCGGCCTCCTTAACCCTTTCCACCTCAGCCTCTGTCTCAGCTACCTCAGCATCTGGATGCCTCTCCAAATTCCCCCTTTTTGCCTCGGCCTCCCCCTCAGTCTCGTCCGATGAGCTCGGCACTACAACCACCGAGGGCGCAGCCCCCACCCCCACACCTGGCCTATCACCCAGCTGATGTCAGGCATCGTCCAGAACCCCAAAGTTTATACTACTCCTACTGGACCCACTCTCACTCCCCTCTCCAAACGCCATTTTCTTCTTCTCCCCCTGCGCCCGCTCTCCCTCGCCACAGAAGTACAGAAAGCAGGGTAGAAGGATCTCTCACCTGACTCAGATGACCTCCTAGCACAGCTCCGGTCCTGGGTTCCTCCCTCGCACGCACCAACTCAAGCTTCTCCAATCCACAACCAGAGGAACACCGTGGAAATTCAAAACTTTCAAAACTGGGCGAAAATGGCGAAACTCCCCAACTCATGATATATATAGGCAAACGCCGTCACTCCCCACTGTTCGATCTGCCTGCCGCCCTCCTTCAAATCATGACACATGGTGCCACATCTTCCTTCCCATCAATCGACACGACCCGAACGTCCCACCCTTTCCGTCTTCCCGGACGCCCCATCATTTCACCTGCAATAAATGGCACAACGCCCGAGCCCCTGACACCTGTCCAAACCGTTCGCATTCCTGAGGCAAGGCAACCCTTCCCTGGGGAGTTGGGGGACTAACCTAAGCAGCCGGCCTGATCCGAGCCGACCGCTAGGCACTGCCCCAAAAGCACTGGACAACTCCCCACCCAAGGAAACTTGCCTAGAGAGTTGGGGGACTTGTTGACGCTCGGTACTCACCGAGCCAATCAGCCCAATAGAATCTCCAGATGGGCCTCATACTACTGTTGTGTGGATTTCAGCTGCACCAAAATGGATTCAGTTGCATCCTCAACTTGTGATACTCGCAAGTGCACGAGCCGTTTGGTAGTATAGCATATGTAAGTGCGAGGTCGATCCCACGAGGATTGGTGATTGAATGATCCAATTCATTTTCCCTACACAAAACAGAAATGAAAAAAAAAGGAAATAAATAAAACAAGGAAGAAAGAAAATAACTAACTCAAGTAGATAAGTTCCCAAGTTCAATTAGATTAATGGATTGATTCTAGCTAAAGTATGATTAAGCCATGGTGTGTGGTCATAACCTTGTGTTCCTAATTCCCTAATTTGATCATTTGTTGTCTAACCTAAAATTAAGCATTAGGAACCCATTAAGCATAGAAGAACAATTTAAACAACTTGTGACGCAACCCTTTCCTTTTGCCTATAAATAGAGGGAGAAGGACTTAGAGAAGGGGCCAGGAAAAAAAGGAAAAGAGAAAAGAGGAGTGAAAAGCAAGAAAAGGATGCAAGATTAGGCCCAACAATTCACCACGTACGAATTCACCATTGAAATATCACTCTCTCCCTGGACCGAAATAGAAAAGCTCTTAGCTCACCTTCATTTTGATCCCGTAACTACCATTGGGTCAAACAAGGGTAATTTATGTTTTTTTAAAAAAAAAATGATGGTAACTTGACGCGGTTACTCTTATGTCTCTTTTCTCAAACATCTCTGTCCTCCCCGTTTCTCCTCAAACTCCTCCTCGCTTTTGAGAGCCTACCTAAAGCTTCGCATATGTAGTTGCTTCACTAATAAAAATTGTGTTCCATATTAGTGATACCAAGCAGCAATTTTTTAACACCTATATGCTTGATAATTTAATGGAAGAAAAAATTGGTAACCAAGTTGAAGGAAAGCTATTCTTATTTTGAGAGTGTGGTAATAATAATATGTGGTTGTTGCTAGGGACGGTCCCATGAACATGTTAACCTGGGCTATAGCCAAGGGAACTTCTTTTTTTTGGGACTAAATTAGTAGTCTAGCCTAGGCAATCAGCTGGCTGAGAAGAAGAAAGAACAGAGAGGAAGAAGAAAGAAAGAACAGAGGAAGAAGAAAGAAAGAAAAAGGAAGAGAGGAAGAAGAAGAAAAAAGAATAAAAAATAGAGGGGGAGATGATAAACAATCGGAAAGAAAGAGAGAGAGAGAGAGAGAGAGAGAAGAAATAGAATAAAAAAGGGGAGAGGAGGAAATAGAATAAAGAAAAGGATGTGTGTGTTGGGATGAGATATGTGTTTTTATTTTATTTTTACTTCAATTCATTCTAATATTTCCTAGTACATGTGTAGCTTTCCTCTGTTTTTTTCTTCTTTGTTTCCCTTCAATCCCTTCCAAATATTTCAACAATATTATCAATAATTCCAAGATTTTTGTTTGTTTCAAATGTCAGTAGAATAAAAAAAATGTTCTAAATATGATAAAGAAAATATATATATTGGAAAAAGATGGCTTATAAATTTTTTTGGTAACAAACAAGAGCTTATAATTTACCCCAAAAAAAAAAGGTATCCATTAAATATATCAATAATTGGATTCGTTTCAACATTTAGCATACTCCTACAAATATTCCTAACTTCGCCCTTGAATTTAGCCCATGTCATTTTCAAATCCTGGGTCCGTCCCTGGTTGTTGCCTGCCTCGTAAGTTGAACATTCCAAAAGATATGCATGCCACTAGAAGAGCAAACCCGACATGATCCAAGAGAAATGAAAGATGTCGAATTTTGTTGCCATTCCCTCCTCGACATAACTTTCAATCACCTTTTTTATTTTTTTATCATAGGGTTCATCGCATTTGCGGATAATCAAATTTTTTACAGCAGCTTGATCGGTCAATCAGTATGCTACCTAGTTTCTCATTTCATTACAGAAAAATGTGTCATCATGTGCACAGAAGAAGCTTATTATGCACATACGAACAGAAAAGAGAAATCTTGTGATTAACAAAGCATATTGATATTCACATTTCACATGCATCTTCAACCTGCAGCTTTTTGATTTGGCCCGAGTATAAATCAGCCCCTTAATCTGTCTTAATTATAATTATTAATATTGCTTCAAAAACAAAGATGTCAATGCTGACCCCACACCTAATAGATCTTGTGAATCAGAGCTAAAATGTATTTTAAAAATCAAATAAATTATATATGGTGTTCATAAATACTTCACTCCAATAATATCCCTTTCAAATGTATTTGTTGTCATCTTCCATGAGCTTATGATGATTTGGATGGGAAGACTTTTATCTTTTATTTATTTATTTATTAAAAATATGTGGAACTTTGGTCTTAATTCCAAATTTCCAATTCATGAGAATTCATGGATAACCCCACATTTTTCTAAATTATAATTTGTTTAAGAATTGAAGAGATTAACAGTGAAGGATGTTTCCATGAAGCAAGCAAACACCTAGTCCAAGGGGAAGCATATAAACAGATAGCATGTGACTGCCAACTAATTTGATTTATTATATGGATATATTAATTAGTAGAATAATAATACAGTTTACTCATGCTTCAACTGTATGTATGACGTGTAAGTTGGGGACAAACACCATCAATTTGATGTTCATGTACGAACCCCCAACTCTTTCAAGAAGCTGGAGTTTCCCTGTTAATTTTTCATGATTTACTTAAATATTTTTATATTATGTTTAAATAATTCATGCATATATAATAGATTTGACCATTAGATTTGTATATTTTGTGGAGGATTATGTTTAATGTTTGAGAATATTTTTTATCACGTCATGTGACGGCTGGTGGGTGAAATTAACAATTGGTCATAATAATTGACTCAACAAGAAATAGAATGCCTCACTTTCAACATAATGTGATGAGAAAATGTAGCATCATTCTTATCACGAACCCGAAAAACATAAGGTCATCCTGTAATTGAATGCCACGCTTAGCTTTGCTCGTGTGGCTAGAGACCAATTGGTGACCACCATTTCCTAGATGTAACATTTTTTTTAATTTTTTCTGTCACATGACATGTGGCTTCAAATAAACACACCTTAATAATAATAATCACACTTGTCTCTTGTGCCCGGACCCCTGAGGCCCTGCTATCAGCAACATGTATGGGCATATATGGCAGAACGTCACATGCATGTAATTGTGATTCACACTTTTATCTTGTGTGGGAGTTCACCGTAACATCGTCATGTGATGTTAAGTATAAATTTGTTATTCATCTTTATTATATTGATCGTAACATTGTCACGTATTGTAAATATAAACTCGTTATACACTTTGATCTAGCAGTACTCTAATACCATTCATTATTAATTTCTCTGTCACAGATCCGAGAACCTACTCTGAGTAAAGGATGCTTGGTATCAAAAGATTACCTTCACACAGCTTCACTTGGGATCGTGAAAAACGTAGGCTCAACTCCAACAGCTGGGATTGGATGAGCACGTGAAGAATCAGAACCACCTCCTTAACTCACAACACTTCTCTGTGGAACCCACAATCCCCATAAGGCCAATCAATTAATTAATTAATTAAACAAAAAATGACAAAAACCCACTAATGGACCCCTTAAAAATGAGTATTTTACAAGGATACTGCCTCTTCTCCACCCATTTTCACGTGGTTTCTGATCCACTCCAGTCCTTATTATTACCAAAACACCCTTGATGACTATATCAAAATCTGAATTACCTCAAGGACAAAAAGGGGTACTAGCATATATTTAGCGAAGGCAAGGAATCTCTGCCAAAAATTATATATATTCCATGAGGTTGGCTGCTACTAGCTTATTATTGGGCAGCTTAATCCTCAAAGAGCCTGCCAAAAAAAAAAAAAAAAAAAAAAAAAAAGATTGAACCAAATATCACCATCTGAGAAGTTACATTTTCAAAGTTAATAACAGAGAAGGAATAATGGAACAAAAGACCAGGCTGTTAAAGGAAAAAAAAAAGAAGCTGTGACTTGTAACAAAGGAGGAGCATTATAATTTTGAAAGCTACCTATCTTGTTGCTTTCTTCTTTCTATGTTGTTGTTGTTGATGGTGCAATGGCAGCTTCGAAGCACACATATCTAACTCAGATGGGGAAGACAGGGAAATGGCTTAGAAGCTTCTTGACAGGAAAGAAGGACAAGGAGAAGGACAAGGAAAAATGTCCCACAAACCAGAGTTGTTCTGTTGCAAGTCATGAGAATCCAACAACTCCAATTTCCAATTCACAGACAACACCGAAAGAGAAGAGGAGATGGAGTTTCAGAAGATCATCAGCCACAGCAGCAGCAGCAGCTGCAGCTCCAAGAGACTCCAGTTTTATAGATGCAATGCCCACCACAGCACCGCCTATGCACACCGCATTGGAGACTGAGAATTATGAGCAGAAAAAACATGCCCTGGCTATGGCTGCGGCCACAGCTGCAGTCGCTGATGCAGCTGTGGCTGCGGCACAAGCTGCAGCCGCTGTGATCCGGCTTACAGCAGCTGTCAATGAGAAAGCCAGTGCATCTGAAGAGGCAGCTGCTGTCAAAATTCAATCTGTCTTCCGTTCATATTTGGTATGTAACTCTGGAATTCCCTACTAATATCTCCCCGCTAATTGCCAATTGATTTTGCGTTAGATGCTCTGACTTCACTGTTATGTAAATGATCAAATGTCACGAAAATGAAATGAGAACTATTGTATTGGTTTTTGTTGTAGGCAAGAAAAGCACTGTGTGCCTTGAAAGGATTAGTGAAGTTGCAGGCGTTGGTAAGGGGTCACCTGGTGAGAAAACAGGCCAAAGCTACACTAAGGTGCATGCAGGCTTTGGTGACAGCACAGGCTCGAGCTCGGGCTCAGAGGATCCGGATGGCTGAAGATGAAAATACTGTTATACCTCCTAGACATTCCACCCCCAGAAGATCTTTGCAGGAAAACCGGTTCCGGCATACATATAATGTAAGTTTCATAGGATGAGAAGTACAGAACCACATTTATTAATTAACAATTTCTTTGTTTTGCTTTATTTTGAATTGCAATGTTCTTTCTCTTTATGCCATGAATTTCCCATTAAAAATCAGTACAATGCGGTTATGTACATGTAGGAAATGGACAGAGGCATGGAAGAGAACATTAAGATTGTGGAGATGGATCTTGGAGAGTCAAAGGGAATTTTGAAGAGCAGAAATAGCAGCTATTCAAACCTCTCACAAACAGAGAGAACAGAACACAGATTTTCCACTCAGCATGCACCAAATCAAGCATACTCAAACCAAGACAGCTACAATCAGCTCTCCCCAGCTCCATCAGCTCTCACTGACATGAGCCCTGGAGCCTGCAGTGCACAGTTTGAGGACTATTCTTTTGGCACAGCACAAAGCAGCCCTCAGTGCTATTCTGCCATGTCCAAACTTGACCCATCAAGAGCACCCTTTGCTTTTCCTAGGCCAGATTATGGAGAGCCTCTGTCCTATGACTACCCTTTGTTTCCAAATTACATGGCAAACACACAATCTTCAAAGGCGAAAGCCCGGTCGCAGAGTGCACCAAAGCAAAGGCCTGCAGATTCAATTGAGAGGCAGCCAAGCCGGCCGCGGAGGGCGTCCATGGAAGGAAGGAACATCCCAAGGGCTGTGAAGATGCAGAGGTCATCTTCTCATGTGAGTTCAACTGCTCAGAATTACCAGTATCCTTGGTATATCAAGCTCGACAGGTCCACAGTTTCACTCAAAGAAAGTGAATGTGGCTCCAGCAGTACAGTGCTCACAAACACCAACTACTGCAGATCTCTTGTTGCATTTGATGTGAGTATTGCTCAACCTAAAATCTCATACTAATTGATTATGAACAAACATGATTTTAAAAAAGAAAAAAAAAACAAAAAGAAGAAGAAGTAAACATGTGATTTTACTATAGATAGTTGAATTGATCAGATTTTGAATATTTGTGTTGGGTTTGCAGGCACATGGAAGTAGGTACTAACAGCGCATCCCTTCCCAAAATTATGCTTGCCCCAAAGCATAAGAAACATGCAATAGTGTAATTAGAGAATGCAAGCTGCAATTCAATATTGCTGACCTTTTATTTTTCTTGGGATTTTGATTCCGATTCTTGTGTCATTGCAGCAAGATTGTGTATTTTATTAAGTTCCTTGATTTGCTTGTGTAGTGTCCCATTTTGAATCTGATGTTTGTATGTAGACATTTTGGCTAAATATGTGTTCCTGAGGCTAAAATCTCAGATAAACTTATCAGGGGCACAATGTAATTGGATTGTAATCTGTTTATAGAGAATTCATTGTGCATGATTTTTTTCAAAGACTGCTGCTTATTCTGTGAGATTTAAGCCCGTATGACTTAAAATTTTTGAGAGACTTCAAATAGTTGCATTGCATGCATAAGAGCATCTCCCCTTAGCCATTTTTGCTAGAATGAAGGCAAAACGCAGCTGCAACAGACTTCCCATCCACTCTCTATTTTGGAAAACTTCCGATTGAGTTTGGTGGCTTTCTACATTATTCAGACATCTAGAAGGATGTAACCATATGATAAAAATGACCGATCATAAAAGATATCTCTTGAATCAAAAAGAAAAAAAAAGAAGAAAAAAAGATGACAGCAAAATAAATCCTACAAATATGGGCAAGTCTGTGGTGTCCAGCAAATTGACTGATCAACAGTGGAATAGAGTAAAACAAGTTTGGACTAGAAAGAAAGACTATGGAACGGAGTCATCCAAATGACACGTTGTTCCTTGCATAAGTCTGGTCTCTTGTCAAATATATGACAACCGACATGTCGCCTTCCATGAGAATATGAGACCATGAGATCAGAGAGCATCATTGCACGACTTGTCGACTATCTTATATACCTCTCATTTTCAATGCAAAACGACAAGTTGTGATATCAACAAAGTGTCAAAATCCATCTTCCCATTGCTATTGTTAAAATGCTTAGTTCTTTTGAAAGCAATTGTATTGTATGTGACGCTAATATAACTTGTAATGCTGCTATAAATTCAACAAATTATAACAGTGTATTAAATTTGGGATGGAGGAACCCTTCTCCTTATAAGTCAATCAAAATTTAACATGAGTCTTTTCTTTTCTTTTTTTATTTTTTTTTTATTTTTTATAATTCTCCTTATAAGTCTAACACATATCAAATCATAATTTGATTATTAAAAAAGAAAAAAAGAAAGACATATCAAATCATAAGACACACAAACTCCTCTATACTCTATTGCCAGATTACTCTTTTATTTCAATACAAGAAACCTATTACACTCTCATCTTCTCTTCACAACACAAACCCTAAATACATCAAATCATAAATAATCATAATCATAATCAAAGAAACAAAACTGGAGGGAGAAAAAAAACCAGACCTTGACTGCGAAGCAAAAGAAACAGTGCCTGCTTAAGCCTTAGATTGATATATAATCTGGAAATTGCCACATGGGTTTGCTTTGTTGAACAATAAAATAATTTTTTTGTAAATAAAATAAAATAAAATAATGATGCTACACATTTGACAACAATGTTTTTATCTTTTTAAGTAATGTGAGGTTGAGGTGAACTTAGAGTGGTGAGGGGCAAGATTGCTGGGTGTGGGGTGTGAGGTTGATGATTTTTTTTTTTTTTTTCGCTGGATGTGTATTTAGGGGTAGTTTGGGAAGATAATGAGGTTTTCTTAGAAAGTATAAAAATTTGAATAAGAAGTTGGGGTGAATTTAGAATATGGGGTAAACAAAATAGGAGTGCGGAGTTTAAATAGAAAAACTCAATCATAATTGATTTTTAATTTCTTAAAAATACTCAAGTACCACACTATAATTACTCCTTACGACATTTTACTTGGAATGGGCTTTTACGATGTAAACGATCACCACTTGAGAACGGCACTTATTTATATTTTCAAGTTAGGTTGGGGTCAAGGCTCAAGTACCACATAGCTAACTTTGGACTCTTGGAGCCACTGTCTTTTTGGTCAAAGATTCAAGTGCCCAGTTTCAAACTTGAGGGGGCTTGCCGTTGGGAATGTAATGGGCCTTAATTTGTTCTTAATTCACGCATGGTATAGGAGGAAACTTTGGGCTGAAGCATTCGGCATTTTATAATTTATATATAAACTGACATTAAAAATGTAGATATTTATTTTTTACCCTGCAAAGCTGAAGCCCAAGCGTTCCCTGGAGCTTGGCGTGGAAGGAATAGCTGAACAGTATTTAATTAATTATTTATTTATTTAGTTCAAATGGTAATCTGAACTACATATGAGACACACACACAACTATTATGCCATGAGAATTCGAACCTGAGACCTCTGGAAGGCTAGATACTATTGACAGCTGAACAATATTTTTATCCACGTTCTTTTATGGCAAAAATTCATTTTTAGTCCTTGTAGTTTACTACTTTTACCATTATGGTCCATGTAGTTTCAATTTGATCAATTTTGTCAATGTGGTTTCAATTCCAAACAATTCAAGGACAACCCCCAATTTTTTTGTCAAACTACTTTAATATGGAGGGTCATTTTGGTCTAATCTTGTAGCCCCTCCCCAACCACCCCAACAACCCCTAATGTAACTTTTCGTATGCTTTCAAGTCCCAAAGTCCCTTACCTTGGGTTCATGATGAGAAGTTTTGGGCAATGAAATTAAGTTTTGATTTTGATAATAGAGATAGAGGGGAAAAGGTGGTTGTGGAGGGAGGGTAGCATAATGTTGGATCGGGAAGGGTTGTGGGGGTGGTTAGGTTGTGGCTATAGGGTGGGGAGTGGATTGAGTTAGGAGGAAGAGGTTGGTTGGGAGGGGGAGGAGGGATGGGAGAAGGTGGTTATTAGGTGGTTGGGGAGGGGCTGAAAGATTGGACCCAAATGCCCCTCCATTTTAGAGTAATTTGACAATTTTTTTGGGGACTAAGCTTAAAGTGCTTGGAATTGAAACTATATAGGGACAAAATTGATCAGATTGAAACTATAAGGACCTTTGTGGTAAAAGTGGTAAACTACATGGACCAAAGTGATTTTTTACCTTCTTTTATTTAATGTCAACTCCAATTCATACATGTGTCGAGGCTTTTGGATAAGAAAACTTGATTTGATATAGTCCTCGTCTCGTCTATTCGGAGAGAGACTTTTATGCAACAAGGATAACATTGTTTGCTATTCCCGACCAATAGCGCAATGACACGCAAAATAACTTTACAGTGTCATTGCATTTATGGCCGGAGATAATAAAACTGTGCTATCGAAAATTGTTCTGCTTTGTTATTATTATAATATTACTTATTTATTTACTTTCAGACATTGCTTATTCTTATTCTGATTGGCAACAACAATTAATTAGTTTTTGTCGTTCTTTGCTTTGTTTTGTTTCCACTGATGCAATTGAACGCGAATGTTTAATGTAAGTCAACCCTAACTTACTGACGTTATGTGGGTGTTTTACACATCTACTTCCAACTTTGAAGGGTAATATAGAAATTAAATAACCATTTACCTCAAAACTCTTTCCCTTCCACAATCCTCACTTTGCAGCAATTCTAACACATGATGCACCTGAAAATGGGATGAAAGTCTTCATTTACTATACCCTTTATTTGTACTCTAAACTAATGCTGTTTTCATTAGATAGATTTTAACTACATATTTTTAGTGTTAGAAGAGTTCCTAAGTTTAAATTCCCGAACTCCCAATTGATAAAAGCTATATATTTTTAAGTAGTTAAAATATTACACCAACACCAAATTTTGGCATTGCATATTATTCTTTAAGTAATACCAAAGAATATTTAACTGAAACACACCCCAAATGTAAGTGAAATTAATGTATATGAGTTTTATTTTTAACTTAATTATGGAGATATGTAGATATATATTTGGTGAATAAGTGTCACATGATAAGCATCACTAGACTTGGAGTAAAATAATGGAAATCAACCTCAAAGCAAGTGCTATTCATGGGTCTGAGAGAGCAGAGATTCCCAACTCAACTCACCACAACAGACGTAATAATTTAAGTTGTCTTTTTATCCTTTCTTAAAAAGGAAGAAAAGAAGGCACTTGGTTTGGTTACTATGCACTGCACTGAGAATATCCTTTACAAAGTCCAACGTTCTCTTCAATAATTCAGAAAAAGTCCACCAAATGCTTGTGTACTCCTCACAATTTCTTCAAACTTTGAAACCCTTCTGCTTCGATTTGATTGCTGCTGCTAATATCTTGTCAAACGTGTCATATATACATTGTCCTTTATACATGTGTGAATTGGTGTGTGAGGTACGTAGAGAACCAGAAAGACCATATATCAGCTAACATGGACGTCACTTCTTCCGTCAATATCTAAATAAGATCTTTTCCTTTTTCTCGCTTCCTTTTCTGTTTCCTTTTCTTCTTTTTGTTAACTTCCTATGGTTAAGTCGTGTATTTCCGTTATGTTTCCTCCTGTGGATTCAAGGTCTTTTACTTATTCTTAATTGCGCACAATATATGAATAATGTTGTCATGTTAAACTTGTATTGTTATGAAAATACTCTCATCATCCCCGACTGTGAATTTGGACAACATATTTAAGCAAAAACCTATATGATCAATAGTTTAGATTCACAATGCTATAATCTAAGGTTGAGAGTCTAGTGAGTTTTGCGGTTGTGTAATTAAGCTCTACATTGTGGGGGACCTAGTTTGCTTAAAACATCTATGATTATCTTCATCAAAATTTCTAGAGACCCAAAAAAATAAGAGAAGCGAAGCGATTCAAGTTTGGTGACCATCATTTTCCTCTGCCAAAAGTTACAAGGAGAATTGAACATCTTTTCTCCCTATAGGACCATGCATTATACCTTGTTTATTCATATATATGGTCAGCGACATACGTACATGTCATTGCTTAAATAGCTGTAATGGTCCCAAATCACAAACGCACCAATCTCATTTTGTGCTAAGTTGAAGCCTAGTGCAGAGTGGTCATGGACTGTGATACATATCTGTCTATCCAGCCAACCGCTTGCCCAAAATGCAATTGGCTTTTCCAGCATCACTTGTAATACCAATTATAGCCAGAGATTATACGTGATGGGGGGAGCAAGACACACCAGCAGAAATCTGACACATATATATATAAGAAGGTCAGAAGGCTGACTTCATTTCAGGCAAGTGAGGAGCGAACATACATGTAACCGTTTTCCAAGTCTATCACGTATTTCCATGTCGAAAAAATTAAAACACATAACAATAAGTGATTGATTTGGAATAGCGCCACAATGATATCCTAGTAAATTTGTCTCTTGTGTGGGAGGTGATGAATTAATGGCGGCAGTTGACAAGAACAAATGA